CTACCAGCTAATAAGCATAAGGAAAAGAACGGACGGCAGGTAAGATGTTTTCTCACAACTTGCACGAGATACAACTCATACAAGTAAGCGTACCACAACACAATATCAAATAGCAAGAATGCCCCCAGGCCATCACAAATCATCACAATCAATCCCTGACATAGCCCACCTTGTCTCGCCACATGCGCAAATAATAACATAATAAGTGCCCGCCTTTTTTCGCCGCACGTGCATCATAATATTTCCACCTTGTCTTGCCACATGCGCAACCCACATATAAGCATATATATATACATATCCCGCCTTGTCATTGTGAGCACGTGATTTTTGCCCTATCTGAATTACTCCCAGAAATTCAAACAAAATGATTTCTTTCATTATTTGCAATCAGGCGCCCACCTGGAGAACAAGGGAATACATTTTAAGTTCAGCAATCAGGCGCCCACCTGGAGAACAAGGGAATACATTTCAAGTTTCAGCAATCAGGCGCCCACCTGGAGAACAAGGGCATCTATTTCAAGTTTTAGCAATCAGGAGCCCGCCTGGAGAATAGAGGCATTTATTTTCAAGTTTTTGGCAATCAGGAGCGCCGCCTGGAGAACAGAGGCATTTATTCCAAGCTTTAGCAATCAGGAGCCCGCCTGGAGAACAGAGGCATTCATTTTCAAATTATTAGCAGTCAGGAGCCCACCTGGAAAATGGACACATGTTTCAAGTAATCAAGCATCACTCGGAGGAACGACAGCAATATCGTCAATCACAATACAAGACAACAACAGGAATACCATCGGAAGATTACAAGATACAAGTTCAAGGCAACACAAGTACAAGTTAGAAGACATAGATAGGACCCTCTTGTAATTCGTAGATCATAGCTTAGGCTAGCTTCTTTTCATTCTAACACGGTGTAATAAGGAGGTCAGCGAGCAGTAGCAACAGCAACAGCAGTGAAATCATAGCTCCTGGTAGTCCCAGCTACCAAACCTTCCCGAACTACACTGACCTGATTCCATTTTAGCCAAGGATATGTAGGCAACCTCAGAAGCAGGGTGCGGTCAACTCTTTCAAAAAATGCTTCACACGGAGTATTCAAACGGGCAAAAATCGCTCGTATCCGCTCACTTATCTTTGCCCGAAAACTCTTCGTGTTCCCGAGCAAAGAGGGGCAGCTGTGAGCACGTGATTTTTGCCCTATCTAAATTACTCCCAGAAATTCAAACAAAATGATTTCTTTCATTATTTGCAATTTTGTGGATTTTTTGCGACATTTTATGTTAATTGTTTGCATTTTGTTTGTGCATTTCTACTAATGAAAAAAAAAACAAAATATGCTTAGCATGTGCATTTAGGGCTTAATTTCACATCTTAGGGTTAATTAGTAATTAAGTTACTTTACAAAGAAGAAAATAACAGAAATAGTTCATTTTGCATTTTTAACCATTAATTTTTGAATTTGTCATGAGTTTTGGACTTAATCAATTTCGTGGAAGTAATTAGTTTAATTTTGGAAATAAATTAGGTCTCATTTTAATCTTTGCATTTTTTATAAAATCAAAAATATATATATATATATATATATATATATACAAAATGAATTACAAAAAATAAACAAAGGAAATAAAAATGAAAACAAAAGCATTTAAAAGAGGGTGCTTTAATAATACTCAGTTTTGGGCCATTTCAGTCAAATTAATCAGCCCAAAAGGAAGACCTCACTCCCAAACCCGGTCTCCCAGTCCAAGCCCAAATCACCCCAACCCGGTCCAGCCTCCACACCCTACCAAAATGACCCCGTTTTCCCCAATTTAATCACAACCCTCGATCCTTTTGATCCAACGGACGAGAACTGCCTAGGTTTTGTGGTATAAATATGTCCTAACACTACCCTACCCCCCTCAGACCCCCTCACCCTCCCGTCTCTCTCACCTGTTCATCAGAGACGCCTAACCTCGCCGTCCTCCGCCGTCCTCCGCCGCCTGCCGCCGGCCGGAAATCGCCTCCGCCGGCGGCGATCATCCAAATCACCTGAAAATTACACCACTTCTTCATCTCATCTTCCTCGTCACGATTCTAGCCTTATTTCTCCTCGAATCCCACCCCAAAACTTCGAATATTAGATCGAAGTTTTCCGGCCATGACACAACTTCTCCCAAATCGGTCCAAATTAACACCCTAGGTCCCTCTCCCCTTTCCCTATCCAAATCCCCGGTTAGTTTCTCTCGAATCTGCCCGGAATTGGTCGAATCTCAGTTTGAATATTTTCCGGCCAAGACCCAAAGTATGTCAAATGGTCCCAAATTGATACCCTAGGTTCATCTGAGTCTCCTCTACCCAACCCCCATAGCCACTAGTCTCGAATCTGCCCGGAACGTTACGAATTTTAAGTCCCAAAGCCCGGCAGAACCCTAACTCAGAAATCTTGGGGATTTTGGACCGTAATTTCCCTAATCACGTGTTTTCTTTTGAAAAACACACGATTAGGGATGTTGCGTGTCAAGAATCCCGGAGGATTCACAACAATAGCTGGTCAGAGTTCGCCCCATAGTCAGTCGAGTGCTCAAAATTAGTAAGTTCTGTTCGATGNAAACATGAATTGTCGGGAAGGTTAGTTAAATGGGCCATAGAGCTAAGTGAATATTAAATCACGTACTTACCTAGAACAGCAATAAAATCACAGATATTAGCTGATTTTGTCGCTGACTTTAGCCAAGGGATGCAATTAGAAGCAGAAAAAGAAATACAAGTACTTAGTGGGGCTAATCCTGGAACATGGACCTTATTTACTGATGGCTCATCTAACGTAAAAGGTGCAGGATTAGGAATTGTTTTAGTACCACCTACGGGTGAAACTATTAGGCAAGCCATTAAATGTCATTCCGTAACTAACAATGAAGCGGAGTATGAAGCTGTGATTGCAGGTTTAGAATTGGCACGAGAACTTGGTATAAATCAAGTAGTGATCAAAAGTGACTCACAGCTCGTGGTTAATCAAATGCTGGGGACTTACACAGCTAGGGAAGCAAGGATGCAACAGTACTTGGAAAAGGTACGGGAACTGATAAAGCAATTCCAAACTTGGAAGGTCATACAGATATCGAGGGGTGAAAATGTTGAAGCAGATTTCAAGTTCAGCAATCAGGCGCCCACCTGGAGAACAAGGGATTACATTTCAAATTCAGCAATCAGAGACGCCTGTTCATCAGAGACGCCTAACCTCGCCGTCCTCCGCCGTCCTCCGCCGCCTGCCGCCGGCCGGAAATCGCCTCCGCCGGCGGCGATCATCCAAATCACCTGAAAATTACACCACTTCTTCATCTCATCTTCCTCGTCACGATTCTAGCCTTATTTCTCCTCGAATCCCACCCCAAAACTTCGAATATTCGATCGAAGTTTTCCGGCCATGACACAACTTCTCCCAAATCGGTCCAAATTAACACCCTAGGTCCCTCTCCCCTTTCCCTATCCAAATCCCCGGTTAGTTTCTCTCGAATCTGCCCGGAATTGGTCGAATCTCAGTTTGAATATTTTCCGGCCAAGACCCAAAGTATGTCAAATGGTCCCAAATTGATACCCTAGGTTCATCTGAGTCTCCTCTACCCAACCCCCATAGCCACTAGTCTCGAATCTGCCCGGAACGTTACGAATTTTAAGTCCCAAAGCCCGACAGAACCCTAACTCAGAAATCTTGGGGATTTTGGACCGTAATTTCCCTAATCACGTGTTTTCTTTTGAAAAACACACGATTAGGGATGTTGCGTGTCAAGAATCCCGGAGGATTCACAACAATAGCTGGTCAGAGTTCGCCCCATAATCAGTCGAGTGCTCAAAATTAGTAAGTTCTGTTCGATGCTGTTTTGATTATGTATGCTCTTGTTCAAATCTGTTTTGATAATCTTTAACTCTTTAGGGCACTTTTGATTTCAATTTTTCTTCAGTATTTGAGCTTTTACTGTTGTTATTGGTTAGTAGTAATCAATTAGTTTAATTTAGTTTAATTCAGTAATTGCATTAGTAATTCCATGTTCATGATCTAGCTTAAGTTTTGATCTTCATGTCAGTGATGTTCCCAGTAGTCAAATACGTTTACGTGGTCTGATTTTGGGTTCAGTTAGTCGACTCCTAATTGTTTACTGTAGTTTGATTTTAATTGTTCCAACCTCTTGATTAGCTAATTTGTCTAGTTTGATTAGCCCTAGAAATAGATTGCTTGGTTATAGTTAATGGACTGGTTTAACTTAGTCAGTAATTTTAGGGGATTCAAAGGGTAGTTTAGGCATGGAAAAGGGTAGTTTCATTAAGATTGGTAATTGTTGAAGTAAAGTAAGGGTAGAATAGGAATTGTAATGGGTATAGAACCTTCTAGGATGGACTATAGTATAGATTTCAATAGAATAGGTGTAGTTACTTGTGTAACAAGTCAGAAAATAAAGGGTAAAAATAGAATTAGAATAGGGACTAAGGGGTAAAAGGAAAATCTGAAATTGGACCCTAAGTTCACCTATAAATAGGCATTCATTTGCCTTGATTCACAAGTTTTGGAAGCCTAAAATCCCCCCAAAAAAAAAAACAATCTTCAATCCTCCAGATTTGAAGTTCAATTCCAGCTCAAAAGCTCTCTTAGATCTTAGCTCTCTCCAAAATACAAAAATACAAAAAAAAAGCAATGCAAAAATACAAAAACAGAAAACCTACTGTTGCATTAATGCTCTCGAAGTCAAATTAGAGTTTCAGTTGATAAGTTGCATGTTTCAGCTTAATTTCTGATTGTGAGAGTGTTTCAGAGGCGTCTTGGTTGGTTTTCAGTGATTTTGGGATTTTCATCCAGACTGTTTTTAAGTTTGTTTTGGTCGTACTGTTTGGCTTTGAGCACGTCCAGATTTTTGGTTTGATTATTTGGGGTTTGCTCGTTGTTCTATATTGCTGGGAATCGATTACTGCTATTGCTGTTCGAGTTTCTATTGTAGCTAACTTTTCCCACTTCATTTTTATTCCCATTCCAGGTACACGATTTGGCCTTTGATAATTGTAAGTTGAAATATGAAAGTATGGAAGCATGAAATCTGAATTACTTCAACCTTTGTAACTGTGTGTTCAACATTCAGCTTTGATGTAGATTAAATTTCTGTTTGTATTGTACTAATATGGACTGTACCGGACTGTTTAGACTATTGGGCTTGTGATTGCTCATCTAAAGATTAGCTTTGAACTAGCACAGTTTGGTTAATTGTGTTGGTCTGACTTTTAAAAATCAGAAAAACATATTGTAGACTTGAGATCAATTTTGGCATTAGCGCGTATGCTCGTATCAAGGACAATTTCAGGCCCAGTAAATGTGTGTGGTAGTACAGTACTTTAGTATCTAAAATTAGTGATCGTAGATGTAGTTACTCAGTACACCTTCGCTACATTAAGTCCATGAATTTAGCAAGAAGAGTTAGTTCCATGTTAATTCGTTGATTTGAACGATTGTATCTCGTTTCCTCTGTTTTAAAAATCACTGATTACCATTAAAGCAACATGAAATAAGATCAAGGCTCAACAGCCTGTGCCGATCGAGTTGGACCTCAGCTCTACTAAAGCCCGTCCCAACTCTAGTCCTAATTCGTTTCTCATTTAGGCCTGTGCAAAGGCCCCCCTAAATGGTTTACAGCCTTCTATTCAAAACATGAAGCTGGATTGAAACTCCACCTCCCTGGGTTAATGTCGAAGCCTAGTGACTTGACTCTTGCAAGTAGGCTAATAACTAATTAAGTAGGGCCTTTCCTTATTTTTAGAGAGACAATACGTGAATATAAAAATTGTAGATTACCCCAGGGATGCCTTTAATGAAATGAGCCTCGCTAAATAAAACACATAAGTCGCGGGGCTCTCAATAAATGCTGTATATAAGAAAAATATACTTAGAAATCGGGTGAACCGTTTAGCGAATTTCACAGTTTTCCCCAAAGATAATAAACGCGTAGTTGCTTTAGGCGCGTATTTTAATAATATTACCTTCCTAAATGTGGGTGCACATTTATGTGACCCAAATCCAAATCTCAACGAAGTTGAAATGTGGTGACAATCACGGGTGCACTGGTGCGACGTGGTTCGAGGCGCATTTTCACGACGTTGCAATTCTTATAAAAAATAACAACAAAAATGGTTTACTAATAAAAGCATAAGCTAGAACATGTTTTGGAAATCAGATAGAAGCAAATACAACAGTTGAGCGACCGTGCTAGAACCACGGAATCCGGGAATGCCTAATACCTTCTCCCGGGTTAACAGAATTCCTTACTCGGAGTTCTGGTTCGCAGACTGTTAACAGAGTCATAATCTCCTCGGATCGGGATTTAACCGGTGACTTGGGACACCATTAATCTCCCAAGTGGCGACTCTGATTTTTAATTAAATAATCCTGTTTCGATTGTCACTTCAATTTGGAAATAACTCCCTTATTATTATATCCCTTCACGGGGTGTAGTAGTAGAAAGGGAGGTGTGACAGCTCTGGCGACTCTGCTGGGGACAAGAACCCAGAATCTCTAGTTCAGGGTTCAGAATTCGAGCTTAGATATATTGTTGTATTTGGCTTTATCTGATTTTTCTACATGTTTCATGTTAAATGTGCAGAATGTTGCTTTTTACCGCTTTGATATTATCTGAACTATATATAAACTGTGCTGAAACCCTTCTCTTCTCACCTCCGGGGATGTGCTTACTGGTTGAGACTCCCTATTCTGTTAGTGTCAATACCCTGAAATAAGGAAGAGGCCGGACAAGTTACTAAGCCGGATGGCCTTTTGGTTCCCGGTACATAGCCCCCTCCTCGACTCGAGTTGTCCGCTCGGGTACATAGTCTAGAACACATACCCAGGTTTTGAACATAGAAGAACTTGACTTCATGCCGGATCCCTAGTAGGACGTTTATCTGCATCACGTGCATTTTGACTTAGGGGACTCAACACAGGGGTTGGGTCCGTCTAGGACAGGTGTACCCGGAATAATGAACCATCCTGCTGCATCCTATTTGTGCATTTATCTGTTTGGGACCTGCATGCTGACCGGCTTTGAATATTTGGGAAAAAGTGGAAAAAACCAAAAGAGAAAATAGCGATATAGAGAGTTAAGTTCCTATATTAGAAAAAACCAATGTCCAAGTAGTGTCGAAATGCTGCCAAATTTTTGAAAATGAAAAAAAAAAAGAAGAAAAGTTCTTTTTAGTTTGCCAATGGAAAAGAAAAACAAAAAGAGTTTTATTTTCAAATTAGTTTATTTTATTTGCCACTGAAAAAGAAAATATATATAAAAAAAAAAGAATCCTGCTTTCAGAAATAGTGTATTTGCCAACAAAAAAAAAGTCTTGTTTTCAAAAATAGTTAGATTTGTTTTGCCCGAACTACGCTGGTTTGATTCTCACCGGATGTGAGATACGTAGGCAACCCTCATCGGGTCCAACCTCCCCTTTTGCAAAACTAGCCAAAAATGCCAAAATTTTTTAATTTCGTCATGAATAAGTCGGGTGACGCCATTCTTGTCAAAATAAGCCAAATGTCCCCAAAAAGGGCGCCGGAAGGCTGGTTTGCAAGAACAGCCACCCTGAGTCATTTTCTAAACGGTTAGCAGGCACAGCCTTAAAATCTTCTTTACGAAGTGCTGAAAGGCCGTATCCGCAATACCGACTGTTTGTTTAAATTGGAAATTTGAACAGAGATTGTGCCATTTTTCTCTTTTAGGTCAAAATAAGTGATTAAAATCACCTCAATAAATATGCAGGATGAGCACGACTCAAAATGAATTATTTTCAATCATGCATAAAATCCCTTTGGAGTTACGTCTGTGGTGGAACGATTTAGGCAGAGAAGGGCAAGATGCAGTCAAGAAACATTTGAAAGGGCTTACCGGTTTGCTCGATATTGTGCCTCGGGGAGATATTATTAGAGCACTGGTTACATGTTGGGACCCAGCACATAATGTGTTCCACTTTTCGGACTTTGAGCTTACCCCGACATTAGAGGAAATAGCTGGCTACATTGGAAAGGATGAGGTTCCGTTGAGGCACAAATACTTGGTTGCCCCCAGAGTAGTAGCCGTGCACAGATTTCTAGACTCTTTGAAGATAGTCAGAGCCGTCCATAACACAGATCTGGCAAATGGCTTTTGTACTCTAAGCTTCATATATCAGCGATACGACCATATTAGGGGGTTCAACAACCCAGAAAGTAAGATATGTAGCAAAGGAAACCGCCAAAAGTGGGAAGAACATCAACGTTTTGCCTTTATGGTAGCTTTCCTGGGGCTTCTGGTATTTCCAAGGAAGGATGGGAACATTGACATAAAAATAGCTGGGGTCGTCAGCACATTAATTACTCAAGCCAAAAGTACACTGGCATCTATGATATTGGCTGACATCTTCCGTGCTCTTACAGCTTGCAAGGCCGGGAAAGCTTTCTTCGAAGGGTGCAGTCTATTGTTACAAATGTGGATGCTCGAGCATCTGTGTCATCGCCCTCAATTTTTGAGCTATAGGTCTCCAGAAAAAACATGCATAGAAGAGTTTTACATGAGGATTAAAGGGGTTGAATTGCCAGAAGGAGTCACAGGTTGGACAACATATTTTCAGTCCCTCACTGCCAGCCAAATAGAGCGGACACTGGGATGGTTACTCGTTGATGAAATCGTATACATGCCGGCAGCCCGACCACATTTCCTTCTGATGGGGCTTAGAAGCATTCAGCCTTACGCACCGTATCGAGTGTTGAGGCAGCTGGGGAGATGCCAGATTGTACCTAAGGATGATGATCTTAGTTTGCAAGTGGTTGAGATTGGCCCTGATGGCCAGTTTCCTGAAGCAATGGTCCGCCAGGTCTGCAGCGAATGTCAATATTTGGCGGCAAACACTTGTGTTCGAGATCGAGCCAAAGGAGAAGTATCTCCTGATTATCAGGCTTGGTACAGAAGGGACGTTGCATTCGGAAGACCGGCCAAAAGACCTCACATCCAGGAATTTGTTGAATCATCACAAGAACAGTGGGCTTGGTTAGCTAAGGAAAACGAATACAGGACCCGCATAGGAGCATTGGAAAAACAGGTCCAAGACCTCCGATTTTGAAAATAGCTTGCAAGCCTCGGCTGATGAAGGTGAGAAAAACCAATTGGCCAAAGAGAATGAAGCCTTGCGAGCCCGAATCCAAAAAATGAAGTTAGAAGCCGATAATCCTGTCAGGAGTGCCAAAGATGCAAAGCTTATAGCAAATCTAAGGCAAAAGGTGAACGGCTACAGTTTTGACCGCAACAAGGCAGAAAAGGAATTAGCTGGGGTCCGGAAACAATTGGCTAAAAATGCAGAAGAACGGGCCCGCATGGTTAAACAGTTAAAGGAAGAATATGACAATAAGGTCACAGGATTAAAGAAAAGGTTATTGCCACAGAAAACCGTATGATCAGGCAGGCAAAAGAATTCAAAGTCGAAAGAGAACATTGTTACATGGCATTGGCACAGTTAGAAAGGGACTTGCAACAACTCCGGGAACGAAGCCAAGCGGATGAGCGAACTTTGGAGGCCAGGGCCCAACAAATAGGGCGATTGCTTCAAGAGAAAGGAAGAATCCGAGAAAGAATCTTAACCGTTGCTCATTCCATTACTAGGAAATGTCAAATGTGCGAGAACACGACCCGTACCACCTTCCTGGCGTCAGTGACGACATTTGTGAAGCAGATAATGAACGACCTAGACAGACTTCAAAGGGAATTTGCATATAGGCCCGCGGCGAGACCGAATGATGTCCCGCAGGCACCAGGAGCTTTAATGTATTCGTAATTGTCTTTGAGTCTGCACTCTTTCTTCTGAAAAAAAAAAGGGTTTGTCGTCCGAGTCTGTATTTCCTTTTTGGGAGTTAGGTCATTTGGGTTTGTATTTCTTTTTACCAGAGTCTGTATCTTTTTTTTTTAAAGGACAGTCAGTTGATGATGGGGATTGTTAGTTGTTTTGAGTCTTTGTAATAGACAAGTTTGCTATCAATAAAATTGAAATTGTCAAAAATATCATGCTCCTACTTTGCATTTATTTTTTTACGAACTACGCTTGGTCTGATTCACGCGGGGTCGTGATACGTAGGCAATCTCCATAGGATTCGACCGTTTCTAAATAATAAAAGGGAAAACAGAAAAGAATGGTACAAACAGGGGAAAAACCAAATGAAAGAAAACCAACAAAGGGAGAGCAAAACAAAGTGAAAAGATAAGAGTGGGAACTAATTGGCAAGAAAGGAAATGAAAGCCGGGATGACGCATGTGAA